TGTGTGTGTGTATGTGTATTTCACAGTATATTTGAAGGGCCAAGTATTAATCATTACTTTGATGATGGTGTACATTGCCATTAACCATCTTAAATTAAACCCACTCTGATTACATTTTTGTTTCTCCATCCTGGCATATATCTTTATGTATTTTCATTCTTTGGTGAAATGCATGTTCTATTCAGCATAATAGCAGAAACCATCACACAGTTTTAGGTTTCATTTAGACTTGTTTTGAGAAAGTGGCGTTGACTATCTTGCAGGCATGAAGACAGAATTCAGATATTCATTTATAGTGCCTTGAATGGGTAACAAACCAGCAAACCCAAACTTGTGTAGGTTTGAACTCCTTAAGCTTTTGGTTAAAGTTCATTTTTGTGGTAGTTTCTCCCTATGACCGCATGGGGGTCAGGTTCAATTTGATAAAAGTACACTATATCAGGTCTTTCTTTCAAACCAAAAACTAGTTGCAGTTTTGTGAAAATGTTTGGCTTGGCTTATCACAGTAAGTTATTTATTTTTGAGTCTTAAGGGGCATTTTTCAAAGTATGCATTCATTTTGTGCACTGATTCCCCAAAATGCTTTCAGCATAATGTTGTATCAGCATTATATTTTCCATCTACTTAATTTAATGTAATAAATTGTGTTTTTAGAGTCTCAATTCAGTCTTCTTAATCAGAAATTAAATTCAAAGTGGTTAAAAAGTGCAAGGAACTCCATACTATAGGTTGGGACATACAATGTGGTATTTAACCCCAAATTTTTTTTTTTTTTTAATTGCTAGTAAATTTCATAAAGAAAAGAGTAAATTTTGAAGTAGAATAACTAAAACAGTTTGTGTGTTTCTTGTAAACATACTCCAATATTCTTTGTTTTATTTAAATAAAAAAAAAAATAAATAAAAGTGTAGTTACAGTGTATTTTTTTACTGTGAAAAACCATCACATTTTAATGTAAAAAAAATCAATACATTTGATTTGATTTGATTAGATTTTTTTATTTAATTTTATAAATGAATTTTATATTTTATATTTTTATGAACAAAAATTTAATATTTTCAATCATTTTAAGCCATGGGATTGTATGTTACCCCAAAACATTGTGAAACTGTCTTCTGTGAAAATTCATCACATTTTACCTATAAAATTAATACTCATTTAATTAAATGTTTTAAATAATTTAATTTTTATACATTACATTTATATTTTATTAAATAATACATTTTCCAGTTATCGTTATATCATTCATTTTATATTTTTATCATGTTACCTTTAATAAAACTTAAAGGAATATGTTCAAAAATCAACCAGCTGGTATAAGCAATATAAAAATATCATCAGCCTCTCTTTCCAAAAAGAACATTTTTAAAAATATTAATGAAAAATACGTATATATATAAATTGAAATAGGTGTGTAGTATGGTGTCTGAGCACTAGATGTCAGCATTCTCAACAGTTGTCTCGTACCCTGATAAGACTCTACTATCTCAACGTGAGTTTGTTATGGTGGCATCGGGCTCGTTGCTTGATTGCTCTTCACTCACTCACACTGGATTAGAGATCATCTCACCGAGTTTTGTCGGCGCGGAGGAGTCGCGTGGCGTCCACTAATCCACACACGGACATTTCGACTTCACAAACACCTTCCCCGGTCATTTAGGACTAATAAGGACAAAAGGACGGAGGAGTTCCACCGTGGGAATGACGGAGCCGCAGACAAACGCTTGGCACTAATCTCGGCCAATGACTGACACATAAAGCAAGCAAGGGAGATACATTTTATAACTGGCTGGCGTTGAGAGCAGCCTGAGGACTGCAGGCTTGGGTCTCGAAAGGATTCAGCTCTGAATGCTTGTATATCTCAGGGTTTATTGTGTGAATGCGTGTAGTTTTAATGTATCCAAACAATAGGCAGTTTGGAGAGGGGAAGTAGGAGCTTGTAATACACGCTTCCCTTGTGTTTGCCAGCCAGCCGGTAGGCATAGGAAAGCTGAAGTCCTGGTTTATACAGCTGGACACTTCTGAAGCGTTTTAAATAATTAGCTCTTTGCCGATCCACGTTGAATAATTAAACCCCTCGTTTTACTTAACAATTAGCTTTGGGTTTCTCTCCAGGGACTGCAGGCGCTTGTTAGTCGTTTTTAGCTCCATATCACTATGGATGAAGGACGATAGATGTGCATTTTCCAGGGAAGAGCAGCTTTATGTGTGACTTTATAGTCTAATGATTTTGTTTAAGCACTGACAGAAGTTTTAAACTTCCTGCTTTAGTTTCTCGGGGTGTTATTGTCATAAAGATTATGGCAGCCGTTGTGAATTACTCTCCTCCGTGGTGGGTTAACCTTCTCCACAGACTGCCTCACTTTAATCTGCAATTTGAACAAACCAGCAGTGATTTTCGACCGGAGGACTCATCTTACCAGCAGGTAAGTCCACGCATTACAGTAACAATGCTACTGTTTGATACAGCAACACCACGTGTAGATGGCATGCTGCTCAGTAATATGAAATGGTTTGTATTGAAAAGTTGATGATACCGGTTGAAAACCATTTTAAGCAATATCACACAAGAGCGCTGTTATTCTGAATATAGGCACAGCTGTAGGATGGTAGTAGCAGCCATGCTGATATTCAGTACATAACATGACTAAGGTTTGCTTGAATTAAGTGATTTATTTTATTTAAAGGGGTCATATGATGCTTTTTTAAAGATCATTATTTTGTGTATTTGGTGTAACAGAATATGTTGACATGCTTTAATGTTCAAAAAACCCATTATTTTTCAAATACTGTACATTATTGTAGGTCCTCTATGCCCCGCCTCTCGAGTCTTAACTTTGATAAAGAATATCTCTTTGGTTTTGAGACTTTAGTCTTTGCAACTTCAGGGATCTTATCTATGCACAAACAGCTTGTAATACTCCAAAGAGAAAGGAAAACTTGAAATCGCATCATATGACCCCTTTAACCTTTGTTTGAGACCTATTGACCCAGTTAGTTCATGTATTTTTTCTCAGCCAACTAAATCAGTTACAAAAGTTGCCAAAGCATCAAGGGTTGCTTGTCAGTTGTCACCTTGCAAAGCTGGCCTGGAGTAGCGTATTTGACTGGAACAAAGCAATATTCCTCGCTCCTTTTGGTCAAAGAGTTCTATAATCATTCCAGATTTTCCATTTTATTTCCAGAACAGTAGTGAACATTGCGTTCAAGTCATGTTGGAAAGGTTGTATTTATGGGGACATTCTAAAATGCTTAAAGGGGTCATATGATGCGATTTCAATTTTTCCTTTCTCTTTGGAGTGTTACAAGCTCTTGGTGCATAAAGAAGATCTGTAAAGTTGCAAAGACTAAAGTCTCAAATCCAAAGAGATATTCTTTATAAAAGTTGAGTCAACCACGCCTACCTAAAACGGCTCGTTCTAACACGCCCCCACATATCTACATCACGATGTGGGAAGATTTGCATAACGCCGCCCAAATGTTCACGCAAAGAAAGAAGGCGTAACTTTTATTCTCACTGTAGTATTGTTGTTGCCGCCGCCGCCATGTCGTGAAGGCACTGTTTGATTCGTTGTGAAAGCAAAACTACTTTGTTTGGCCTTCCAAACGAGGATGATATCCGCTTCGCATGCCTAGAGCTGATCCGTGCTGGTCGCTGAGGAAATACATCAACTTAGTGCTGTGGATCGCCAGATCGGCTGTGGCTTAATGGGATAGTTCACCCAAAAATGAAAATTCTGTCATTTAAAGGTGCAATATGTAAGATTTTTTTAAATTAAAATATCCAAAAACCACTAGAACAGTTTTATATATTTTGCTGACTTGTGTACTTACATTATCCCAAATGTTTCGAAGAATGTTTAAATCCAGAGAAATAAGCAATTTTAACTAGTGACACGGACCGTGTCTTTAATGTCACCTGCCAATGACGTCATGCACCCTCGATTTCCGCGTTTTATTAGACAGGTGATGACCGCACAGAGTAGCATTATAACAGAACTTTCAAACATCTCTAGTATGATAAAACTGCGCTGCTTTACCACATATACGCACGACCGGAAGGAGCGGAAGCGCTAAAGTGTGGCATAATAAAAGCTCTGCTGCTTTCGAGCCATGTGTCACTCTCGTCTCTCATTAGCTATTGCTTCAGCGGCCTCGTTTCGCTTCGATGGCTTTCCGCCTCACCCTGCTTCGTACTACGATGTTAATAAATATATAATACATTTGCTCATCCATGAACATGATTTCGGCCCGTCGGACGAGTCCCGTCGGATTGCATCGGCTGTGGGGATGAAGACAACAACTCCCATGATTTCCACACTCAGTCAAGGCGTCATCGAACTACGCCTTTGTTTCTTTGTTTGTTTTGAATATGCACCCTCTAGCGGAGAAAACGTACATATTGTACCTTTAATTACTTATTAATTACATTACCCTATGTCGTTCCAAACACGCAAGGCCTTCATTTATCTTCAGAACACAAATTAAGATATTTTTGACGAAATCCGAGCGCTTTCTGACCCTGCATAGACAGCAACGAAACTACCACGGTCAAGGCCCAGAAAGGTAGTAAGGACATCAATCTACAAGAATACTTTATTGTGCGCAAATAAATAAAAAATAACAACTTTATAAAACAATTTCTTCTCTTCCGTGTCAGTCTTCGATGTGCATTCATAAGAGTACCAGAATGTGCAAAAAGTATTCACATAGCTTCTAGGCTTGCCGCGATAGACTGTGATACCGGTGTTAAGCCGCAACACCGGTTACGTCACTTGCCCACCGCGTCACCGACCCCCACCGTCGTTTTGATTTTTTATTGTAATAAAAATCATTTAGTTCAGTAAAAGATTTTTTTAAACATTCGTTTCTTATTTAATTGGTTCCACATTGTTTGCTGATTTTTACTTTATTTAAACTTTGTCATTTATTTATTTTATTTGACATTCGTTTTGCTAATAAACGTTCTACGTTTCTTATTTATTTGGTTATATATTATACATGTTTACTTATTTCCATTATTAAACTTTATGTAAGTTATTTATTTTATATTAGGCATAGCTTTCCCTATAGCATGGTGTATTTTTATTTGTTTTGTTTATAAAAGTTCTATGTTTTATATATAGGCTAAAGTGAGTTTGACGTTGTATTTGGTTGTATTCAAGCAATTGATGA